TCAGGCATAGCTCTTATACTTCTTTTATGCCCCCAACAAAGACTCTGGGTAGAAAGGAGATATTTTTGATACCTAATATTATAGCACTCTCATTTCAAAGATGGCTTTCAGTCTAAGGTATCCACTCTGGCACAGGTACCCTGTACTCCCACACAGCACGAATATCTCACACTACCTTAAGCCATCTTCACACTTACAGATATTTACTGGGCATCTACTCCATACTGGGTGATTTTCAGGCCAGTGCTACTCAAAGTATGGTCCGCAGACCAGTATGCGACTATGAACTGCTTGTTAGCAGCCTGCTATGAATACGTACAAAAAAGAAGCAGCAGCATTTAGAAACATTTACAGCAAGTTGATATATGCCATTTAATCAGGGGACTCCTGTCTCTGAACAGGGTATAGACCACTTCAGGTGTTATCAAACTACTGTGGTGGCTCACCAGCAGCATAAGCTACGAACTTGACCTGCGCAGTGGAACTTGACACATCAGTCCATGATGGACTGCAAAGAACAAACAACAAAAATGTGGTCCTTCACCTCAGAGACTTTGGTCTAAGCCAGGGGTCAGCATGCTTTTCCTGTAAAGGGCCAGATGAGAAATACTGTAGGCTTTGTGAAAGAACATATATGGTCTCTATCCCCATATTCCTCTTTTTTTCTTTTGCTTCTTGTTCTACAAACATCTAAAAATATAAAAACCATGTTCACCTTGAGGGCTGTACAAAAACAGGCTAGATTTGGCTTACAGGCCATAGTTTGCTGATCCCTTGTTCTAGGTGGTGAATAAGACAAAATCACAGGTGGGGGAAATATGGAGAGGTTGGTAAAAGGGTACAAACTTTCAATTATAAGATGAACAAGGTCTAAGGATCTAATGTACAACATGATGACTATAGCTCATAACACTGTATTGTATAGCTGAAATTTGCTAAGAGAAAAGAACTTAAATGTTCTCAGCAAAAAAAAAAAAAAAAAAAAAAGAACCTGCTATATAAAAAATAAATAAAATAAAATACAAAAAGTCAAAAAATAAATAGGTAAAAAAAGATAAATATATGAGGTTATGAATGTGTTAATTAACTAGATGGGCAGGAATCCTTTCATAATGCATACATATATCAAATCACTACAGTGTACTCTTTAAATATTTTAAAATTTTGTAGGTCAAATACAAAAAAAGCCGAAATTTAAAAAAACCCCACAAAATCATTGCTATCACATCATATCACTTCTTGTTTTCTTCATCTCTATCATCATTATCATCCCCAACACTGGCAAAATTTATTGAGCTGTTACGATGTGTAGGATACCGGGTTAGGGGCTGTGGATATAAAGAGGTAAAAGACAAAATTCTGCCTTCACCAAGCTTCCAATCTAGTTGGAATGAGAGGACCAAATCATAAATAATACTATGAGTACATTCTTTAAGTACCAAATAAGTATGGTGAGAGCATGTGTTGTAAGTATACCAGTTTTTCTTTAAAGAAGGAACAATGGAATGCAGCAAAATTTTTATCTTTTGTAACCAACCTAAGGGAGTAAATAATAAATAACTCAAGGTCATACACCTGGCTATGGGATTGAGCACTATTTCTGAAGTGTGCTTGCCAGGTGTTTCAAGAGTAAAGGGCCCCACAGTGAGCAGGGCCTCTCTCTTAGAAAGATGTAATCAAGGCACAGGGTCAGTGTAAAGACTCAGGGAACTCTATACACTAAGAGTTTCTCAAACTTGTTTGACCATGGAACCTGCTTACAGAGTAACACTTATTTTATTTAGGTTGCCAGGATTTCCTCAGAATATCATAGGAAATTCTCACATTGTCCTTTAGAATTAATAGTAGGATGTGACAATATTCTGATAGTTAACTTCAAGCTACAATGATAAATTCAGAAGGTGCTGTAAACTTGTCTAGACTTCCTATCTGTTGTTTCATAACCTGTGCAATGTTAGAAGAAACATCATCTTTCAGGCAATATGTTTTATCAATCTCAAGTCCCCCTTGAAGCAGAAAAAACAGCCAAAAGTGCCCACTCTAAGAATATCACTGTACTAGTGAAAAGTGATGTGTTCAAATGATGGGCCAAAACCCAGCAAACTTTAAAGTAAGGTTAGCCATGGGTAGATTCAGGATCAGACGACTTACCACTGAATAAGAAAGAAATAGCAATTTGAAGAGAAGCCCTACTATTGTTAAGTTTGGATGTGTTCCTGGATTTCTGTATAGTTCATTACACCTAAACAAAGAAAATGCTCTGAACTAGTGAAAAGCAATATCAGAGGTTAGTTTTAATTTCCAGATCGCCACCTCAAACCTCTTCCCAGGAAAAAGAAAGGAGATTGATACTCAACCTGATTACTTTCTGCAAAGGGGAAATGTTTCTGATGTTTTAAATTAGAGCACATACCCAGGAGGGCATCTGTTGGCTATTTCAACTTAAATCTTAACCAAAATATTAGTGCTTTCAGGTGATCAGGAGGATATGGGTGTATGTCAAACCCTTTGGGGATGACAAGGTCACCTGTGCCAATGCTGTGTCTATACTGCCCACAACCTTTCCATTTTATAAGCTCTCAATACATAGACATGAGGATCCTGTAATGAGTGCCTGTGCCCCATTCCTTCCTTCACTCAAGAACCCTTAACTGAGCACCTATGTTGTGCTAGGCTCTGATTAAGGCACCGGGACCACAGAGAGAAAAGACACAATGGTCCCTGTCTTCAAAGGACTCTCAGTCTCATAGCAGGAGGAAGAACAGAGGTGAGACCCCCAGCAAGAGTTATCACCGTCTGCATGCTCAGCCTAAGGCAACTAACAGCAGGTGCAACTGTCAACTCAGGTAGCACAGTGCCTAGGGGTGGGTGAAGAGCTACATTTGACAATGGTGCATCCTTCTAAGAAATGGAGCAGGCATGGAGGGAAAACCCCAGAAAGCTCAGCTGAGACTATGTCTGCCTTCATAGGCAAAACATTTTCACCCCGTCTGGAATAAGAGCCCTTTGGTGTGAGAGATTAGTGTGATATTACCATTCTATGAAAATAAACACCATCAGAGAATAACTTTTCTCTTATACCGTGAAAGGTTTAAAATACAAAACTATCAGACTGCCTCTTTACTAACAAATACGCTTTTCTCTCACCAAGAAGGAAACAAACACGAGAGTAGCAACAATGCCATAAAACATGAGAACCTGGGTTTCTCAAATCTATTTTATAGGAATGATTTTTAACATAACCATCACCAATGAAAACAAAATAATACAAAAACAAAGAACCCACCAATCCAACTTGACAATGAAAACAACTCTACTTACAGCAAAATTATCTTCAGGAAACTTGCCATTCATTCATTTATTCCACAGTCCTTACTGAGTGGCTTCCCTAGACTGGGACAGGCATCATGCCACACACTGGGCTAAGGGGGCGTACTAGCAGCTTTCTAAGAGTGGAAGTGTCATACCTGACCATGACAACGTGCAGGGAACCTACATAGGAAGGAGCCACTGATATGGCCCATGTGAACTGTGAAAGTCCTTAAAGAGCAAGCAACATCTTAACTGGGGCTGGAAGTATAAATAGGAATTGGCTTGCCACATGAATATAGGGGACAGGGGCAGAGAATATAAATATATATGTGAAGGGCATTCTGGGCAGAGACATCAGCAAGTATTAAGGCATAAAAATTTCAAAGAACAAGGCCTCTTTAGAACACAAAGTAGTCAGGTATAGTCAGAGCATAAATCCATGGAGATCAACTAAGAAACAAATCGTTACGGGCCTGGAATGTCATGCTGTGAAGTTTAGCTTTGTAAAGACACTGGAGCAAGGGAGTGATAAAAGTATATGTATTAAAACATACAGATGCCTTCTGGGGTAAGGTGAGGAAAGAACTAGAAGGGAGGGCTGGACTACATTGTGAAGGGTCACACAGTTATTTCCCTCAAGGTCCTCTGCTCAAAGAAATTGGCACAGGGCAGCTATCTGACAGGAGACGAGGATGAACTTCACTGCCTAAATGAGAACAATTCCCATCTGATCTTAATTTGTCCAAACCTCTGCTGAGAACCAGGAACTGAGGAGGCAGCTGCCAAAGCCTGTTCTTACTTTACTCAAGGTACCTGTTAAGGCTCAAGTGTCAAGGTCCGCCTGAGATAAGGAAGCAGAATTGGCATCTCTTGCTCTGGTGGGTGTGAGACCCAGTGACCACGCACCACCTCTCGATGATAAATCACACACCATCAAGGCCCTAACTTCTCCTCCAGGACTTGCTTTGGGCAAATACTCTGGCTGCCCTCCTGCCTGAGCCTGGACTGCTTTCTTCCTCTCTAATCCCTCTCTAAACCCAGATTATTTTCTTTCAGCATCCAACACAAAGCCCATTGTTTGAGAAATCTGCCCTGGTTAACGTGACGTTCAAATCTGAGTTCAGCTATGTGACACTGTGCAAGTAACCCAAATTCCCTGAGCCTCAACTTCCTCTATAATATGGGGGTACTAATACTTTTTAATAGAGTGGTTGTGAGGACTAAATGAAATAAACATAGTGCCTGACACATGGTAAATGCTGAAGAGCAGATAATAGTATAAGTTAACATATATCAACCACTCAACGGCAAGTGTTTTACCTGTATCAACTCATTTTATTCTCACAACAACCCAACAAGGTAGGTATTATAAATCTTTCCATTTTACAAGTGAGGAAACTAAGGCACAGAGAAGTTAAGCAATCTTCCCACGGTCACACAGCAAAGCCAGGATTTAAACACAGGCTGCCTGCCTGCAAGCTGGAGCTCTTAGGTCCTAGGCTTTGCTACTCAATGGTACCAGTCCCCACCCTGAACTTGCTACTGATCTCACTAATTATGACATATCCTGATTAAGTTAGCTTATTTTTCATGTTTCTATAGCAACCCAGTCTGACTCTAAAGCATAGTGCTCTATAAACTTTATTTGTTATTATTAATTAAAGAACACCAACGGGGACAATACTTACAATCTTTTCTTGTCCACCACTCGCTTAACTCGGATGGCTCTTTGTTCTGAGTAAAGTTTACATACTCCTGTTCAGGGGAAAACAGCAGAGACCACTTAAGACTGCTTCTCAGGCAAAGGTATCATTAAATACAAAGAGACAGGACAGTCTTCAGCTAGCAAAGCTAAATGTTGCATCCCATCTACTGTGAAATGCCACATTTGACCTTTAAGATAAAATGAAATACTTTTTAAGTAATCTTCAATGAAATCCAAAACAGCACTCCTGTGCTCCTTCACTTGCTGGGAATGTATCTCCTTGTGGGCTGTAACAGAAAAGGACAATATTCAGGGCTCTGTATTCAATTATACAGAAGAACAATTCATCAGCTTCCTCACAACAGTTTCTTTATTAGAAGTATTCTTAAAAATACAGCTATAAAACAAGTCTTGTGTCAAGTGACATTACATTTTTAAAAGAGTAAGATTTATTAGGCTTTGTGAGAGTAAAAGATTCAACCTGCAGAAAAACTAGTCAAATAATTTATGGTTTATTACAGCACGTAGGGATGGCATTTGACACAGCCCTCTTCTTGAGTGCTGACCCTGTTCGTATTAACAGCCTCCAACGCTCAAGCTGACCTTCAAGTAACATGTTTAAATCAAACTCAGAGCACACACGCCCCCTCCGCCTGCCTGTTTTTCAGCCTGGAATGCTCCATCCTCTCCCCTCAGCCATTCACATTTCCTTTAGACACCAGAGTCAAACCTTCCTTCTCCAGGAAACCTTGATTCTCTGAGCCACAAGGATGCCTTTCTTCTGTGAACCATCACTTCTTCTTAGAGTCTGTGCCAGTTACTTTGCTAAGACAGCTCCAGTTTATGAGAGACTGAGTACCTACCATGTGCAGGCACCCTGTTAGTACTTTACATAAATCACTGCTAATGATCCAAACAATCTAAAAGGCAATTATAATTATGCCTGTTTTACACATGAAGAAACTAAGGTTCAGAGTCAATAAGGAGGCCAAGGTCACTTAATTCCTCATTTTATTAATGTTCACGTATTTTCTAGGTTATCTCAATGAATGTCCTTAAGGGTAGGGGGCATGATCTGTTTCTACCATAGGGCCACGTAATCTGAGATTCACATGAGGAATTTAGCTGATCCATGAAATTATACACAAAATTTTGTGCATATGTATATTTTTTTCTGGCAGGAATGTCTATAGCTTTCAACAGACTCTCCAGGTTGTCCATGGAAGCTTCCCAAACAAAAGTTTGTGTCAAGCACAACAGCATCCGGCCACTTGAACTCTATGCTATGTTAATGTAATCTGTATCTGCCTAAGCAAATTAAAAAAGAATCAAGGAAGCCATCTCAGTCCCTCAGTAAGAATTAAACATCAGTGAAAGTGAGATGATAATAGTAACCCTAATGCTAGCTATTGTTCTAAGGATGCCATGAGAATTCTCATAAAAACCCTAAGAAATATACCTAAGAAATACACGCTAAGAACTATCTCCATTTTATAGATGAAGAAACTGAGACCCAGGGCGATTAAGTGACTTGCCAAAGGCCATATGGCCAGAACATGGTGGAGCTGGGTGGGTACATAAGCAGCCAAGGCTCCAGAGCCTTCCTCTTAACCATGAGAGTCTGATACTACAGCTTACTTTAATACTCTAAGTAGAGAGTTTAGAGACCTTGCATCCTTGTCCACATGCCATCAACTGCTGCCCCTCTCAGTGCCACCCAGAACACAGGCACACATGCACACACCTCCACACACGATTCATCTTCTCTGACCCTGGCCCCTTGGTAAATTTTTGGTTCTATCTGGAGAGGTCCTTTCTGCCTCCCTCTTTCGATCTGTTTAACTTGAATTCATGGCCTTTTCATTATTGTTAACAGCTTAGGTTAAAACACTAATCAGGAAAAAAGAATTTTAAAGTTCTGAAACCTAAATCGAAATAAGAACACAAAAGAGAGCTTTATGCGGCTGTGCCATATGCATCATGTAAGTACTTAATTGAGTCACAGCTGGCTGGCTGCATCTTTCGGGACACGGCACCTTGTGTTCTCAGTTGCTGGATCGCTTCTGAGCAGGTCCTCATGAATGTCTGAGCATCCTGGTCTATCTGGTCTCGTTCTGTGTCCGTCATTCTCCCATATTCAGACATGACATGGCTAACAAAGAGACAGAGAGGGACAAAATTAAAGGGCAGCAGCAAATGACCACACATGGAGTCACGGGGTGTGAAAGGAAGAAGAAAGTTCCCTGCTGCAGTGACGTTTAAGCTGAGACTTGAAGGATGAGGAGGAACTGGCCAGGCTAAGAGGTGGGAGAACGCTCTAGACAGTAGAACCAACACTTCTGAAGGCCGTCAGGTAGGAAAAGCTTCCTGAAGACCAAACTGGAGCAGGCCACGCCAGCGAGAGAGTGTGGCGGGCCTGGAGTGGAATCAGGGGCCGGAGCACACAGGCCTTGTTAAGAGTGTGGGCTTTGACTTTGAGAACAGCGGGGCAGCTACTGATGGCTGTCACAAAGCACACTGACAGAGTCGGAGTCCCCCAGAGGTACCCCTGGGGGCTGCACGGAGAGCGCTGCGGGGACACCATTTGTGAAGAGCTGTTTCAGCCTGGCATTCCTCCCATGTTGACAAGCGGTCTTCAAAACTCACAATGAAAGAGCTTTTAGAACCATTTCACTTCCCCTGATAATCAGTTAAAACTCTAAAGTTACTGAACAAGTAAGGGTGCCCACTTTCAGTAATGCCACACCCTGAAGCTGTCGTAGTTATATCTCTGTGCTCATTTCTGTTAAGACATGGGTGGGTGCTGCAGCATTATTATGAACAGTGATGAGACACCCTGGACACATACAGCTGAAATTCAGAATCACAAAATGTCAAGTTAAAAGGGACCTTAGATAATCATTCCACTTCCACCCACCAGCTGCACTAGCCCCCGTTCCCATCCTCACTGAGAATAAAATACAAAGTCCTGATATTCCCAGCCTCCACTTGTGACCATACTTCCTGCCTCTCGTCCCCATTCACTTCGCTCCAGTCACACTGGCCTCCTTGCTATCCCCCAATCAGACACACAACCTTCGGCAGCCTGGGCTCTCTCCCAGCAGACGCCTGCCCTCTCTCTGCCCTGGCATCTCTGCTCACACGGCCTGACCAGAGCCAGCCCCACCGACCACCCCCTGTGCCGCACCCAGCACTCGCCCTCAGTGGTGGTCACTGCCTGTGTTGGTTATTTTTAGTTCTTATTTTTTTTAGTCTCCATAATTCTTCTGTTTTAAATTGGAGTGTAGTTGATTTATAATGTTGTGTTAGTTTGAGGTGTACAGCAAAGTGATTCAGTTATACAGATTCTTCAGTTATACAGATTCTTTTCCATTATTGATTACTGCAGGATGTTGAATATAGCTCCCTGTGTTGTACAGTAGGTCCTTGTTGTTTATTATTTATTTATTTTTTATTTTTTTTTTTTTGCGGTACACGGGCCTCTCACCACTGTGGCCTCTCCCGTTGCGGAGCACAGGCTCCGGACGCGCAGGCTCAGCGGCCATGGCTCACGGGCCCAGCCGCTCTGCGGCATGTGGTATCTTCCTGGACCGGGGCATGAACCCGCGTCCCCTGGATCGGCAGGCGGACCCTCAACCGCTGAGCCACCAGGGAAGCCCTGTTGTTTATTTTATATATAGCAGTATGTATCTGCTAATCTCCAAACTCCTAATTTATTCCTCCCTACCCCTTTCCCCTTCGGTAACCCCTTTGTTTTCTGTTTCTGTTTAGTAAATAAGTTTATTTGTATCAATTTTTTAGATTCCACATATAAGTGGCATCATATGGTATGTCTGACCTACTACACTTAGTATGATAACCTCTAGGTCCATCCATGTGGTTGCAAATGGCATTATTTCATTCTAATTTATGGTTGAGTAACATTCCATTATATATATATATATATATATATATATATATATATATATATATATATATATATACACACCACATCTTCTTTATCCAATCATCTGTTGATGGGCATTTAGGCTGCTTCCATGTCTCAGCTGTTGTAAATAGTCTGTGCTGGTTAAGTCACTGTCTCTCAGCTCCAAAGCCACCCTCCCACACTCTGCTTTGTGATGTGAGGGCTGCAGCTCCCCAAATCACACGACTCCTCTCCAACTGTACGTTCCTTACCTGGCTTGTTTTCCTTTACAGCACTCTGAAATAGTAACGTCCATCTCCTCCCAGGAGAATGCAAGCTTCATGAAAGCAGGGACTTTGTCTCGTTTACTTCTGTTTCCCCAATACCTAAAAATGCTGTCCCACACACAGTAAGTGTGCTAACATTAGCTGAGCACTTAGGATGCGCCAGACACTATTCTCAGTGCCTAACATGTATTTTATTTACTTATTAATCCTTGCAATTCATTCATTCACTCACTTGTATACTAGCCCCCCATATGTCAGGCACTGTGGCGGGGCTGGAGGCTCAAAGTTAATTAAGTAAGGCTCATTTCTGATTCCCACAGATGGTACCACACCACAGGGGAGACTGGCACAGACACGGGGGGCACAGGAACTGCGGTGGATGGCACTGGTCTGGAAGTGGACTGTGGGACCCATGTAGGGAGTGGTAAGTTCATGCAGGGGAGGTGCTGGGCAGGTGGAGAGGAAGAGTCTCCACACAGGCGACAGCGGGAGAAGACCTGCTCCAAAGCCCCAGCCTGTGGATCATGGCTGGAATGACCACATAACGTATGAGCTACAACAGGACACATCTGAGAATGAAAGGGAAAACAGAAGTATACCAGGTGGTCCCTGTAAACCAAGCATCCTAGCTATGGACCTCTGGGACCCCCTAATTTATTTCAAGGGGCAGCACATCACATGCACCCGGTCAGTGTCTCCACGCTGAATGTGTCCAGCATATGTCTACACAATTTTCCAAAGGAATGCAGACGAGATTATGATAAGTATACATTTATTTAAAGTTACCAAATCTGCATTAGCTGTTTCTTCAGTATCAATAGGTTCCCCCAAATACAACAATCGTACACAATACAAATATGCCACTATCAACTGGAAAGGAGTCCCTGCGGTACAGAAGGTGGGGACTGCCGGCTGGCGTAGTCATTGGAGGATTTTAAACAGGGGAATCTGCATTTTGCATGGGGTCTTCTGTGGTTGCTGGCCTGGAGGTGGATGAAATCAGACCCCAGGTAAGAGGGCACTGAGCATCCAGAAAGAGATGAACAGAGCCTGGGCAAGGCCAAGTCAGTGGGGGAGAGGAAGCATCACAGATCTGAGAGAGATCTCACAGACCGAGTCCACAAGACTGGGCTGACTGGGTGTGGAGGTAAACGAGGAGACGCCTAGGATACAGAGCACAGAAGAAAGCACAGGTGTGGAAGGAAAGATGGTAAGATGTGGGGCCAAAGACGGCACGGAAAGTTCAGGACGTGACAGATGAGGAGATGGAGCAACTTGAGAAAGGTTGAACTCAAACTCTGATTCTGCTGTGATGTTGTAAGAACAGCACTAGCTATATAATCGGCATTTGAAACACTCATCAAAAGTAACGAACGCTTGCCAGTGACATAGCCCCAAATTAAGAATCACCATAACAAAATTACTACTATTTGGAAAAGGTTAACCATCTGGCAAATAATTCCAAAAGATATATTCTCACGGGACATGCACACCTAACTTTTTCAAACTTTGATTTTATTTCCTTTATGATGTGCAGAGGAATAATTTTATTACAGACTTCAATTTATCTAAATATTAGATTCAGTTTAAGGAGATTATGTTAGGTATAGGTTTGGATTAGTCAATTTATTTCAGGGAGAAACAAGGAAGAAACCAGAGGAGTAAGTTTATTCGCTGGTTCAGAAATTTAAAGGAATAGGCTTTTAAAAATTATCTGGTTGGTTACTATGTTAAGAAAGGGCAAGTTCAAAATTATAAAATACCACTGACATTCTGCCTATTAATTTAATATGCAATTAGATACTTCCTGAAGACAGAGAAGAAGAGAGAATAACTAAGTTATTTTAGACTCTGTTCCAAAGGTTACTGAAAAGGTTTGGTCAAAAGTTAAAGACCACAATCTCATTTTTGCTATAAATATTAAATATGAGCAAGTGTAGTACCTTGCCCATAGTATATGCCCAATATACATTATGAAATGAAACTGTTAATGTCTGGGCTACAGACATGAACAAAATACAGACCCTGCTCTCAGTAAACTATATCACAATAGGTAATGTCCACAGGCTTATGTACACAACTATATATCATAAACAAAGGTTAACAGCCATATAACACTTTCCATGCATTAACACTAATTCACTGTTCTAAGCACTTCACATATATTTACCCACTTAATTTTCAAAATTCTATGAGGTGGGTACTATAATTATTATTCCCATTTTACGCATGAAGCAACTGAGGCACAGAGAGGTTAAGTAACTTGCCAAGGTCACACAGCTAGGAATTAGCAGAGTTAGGATTTAAACCAAGGCATCCTGGCTCCATACTCTTAACCACTGCTCAAAGCATTTCTTGAGTCATAAAAGGTAGAAGAGTTCAGAAGAGGGAACGCTTATTCCCTATTAGCTAATCAGAATGAAGGTGATCTATGAACTAAATCTTGAAAGGCAGGATGTAGCTGTGGGAGACAAGAGCAGACACTCTGAGCAATAGAACAGAATCGGGAGAACTGTCAGTGGTTCAGTTTGGCTGGAGCACAGGCTAGGTAGAAGCGATGAGTTCTTGGTGGGCCTCCAGTATGACTTGAGTAGTTTTATTCTGTAGCCAGTGGAAAGGCAGAGCTTGATGAAGATAAATGTGGCAATTCCACATTTAGCTGGAAGAGAGGGGGAAGATCAGGTGATGGGTTATGGAAATCAGGCAGAGAATCCTGCCTTATTCATCTTTATATCCCTAGCACAGGTAGGGGCTAGTAAATTTCTGTCGAACTGAAGACAGGAGCAATGGTAGAGCGTGGGTGGCAAGACTGAAAAGGGGTGATGGATCTGAGATGTAAAAATCATCAGGAACAGAGTAGATGTTGGAGGCAAAGCATCAGCAGACCTTGAGATCTGGGGCCTGGGTGAGCAAGAGACAGTAGTAGAAACAAAGAGCACAGAAGGAAGAGGAGAAAGA